CTATCCAATGCTTACTCTGTACTAGATACTATGTTTACATCTAAGGGGGAGAGGTAGCAATTATGATACAGAGGAAATACTAGGCTTAACAAGCATAATTAGAAGGGGCCCTTAACCCCTTCTGTGTGTGTGGAGAGGTGTTGGGGAAGTAGGGCTGAGGGCATGCTTGTCAAGAAGGTAGTTAGTACTAAAGAAAGTGAGGTTTAAGTTGCATTAAAAAAAAAAGTATGTGTGTGTATGTGAAAGGATGTTGTTGTTGTTGTTATATGCCGTTGAGTCGGTCCCAACTCATAGCGACCCCTCCTTGGGTTTCCGAGGCAGTATCACTACGGAAGTAGGATTGCCCAACCTTCCTTCCGAGGAGTGGCTGGTGGGTTTGAACCACCAGCCTTCTGGTTAGCAGTCAAGTGCCTTACGCACTATGATAGGAATGTGTATTAAGAACGCCAGGCCAAAAAAAAAAAAAAAAACTCACTGCTGTTGAATCAGACCAAACTCATAGCAACCCCTCCTTGGGTTTCTAAGGCAATATCTCTACGGAAGTAGATTGCGCAATCTTCCTTCCAAGGAGTATGTGGTGAGTTTGAACCGCCAGCCTTCTGGTTAGCAGTCAAATGCCTGAGGCACTACACCAACAGAGTCCAGACCAAAGAAGAGAAGTAATTCATCATGCAAAAGCTCAGCAACGAGAGAGCATTCCACATTTGAAGAACTGCAAAAAGTCAAATACAGTACTGCTTAAAAGAATAAAGGTGGAGGGCAAGACATGGAGCTGGAGAGGGAGGGGCCAGATCTCAGTGGGACTTGGGGACCAGTTAGGGAGTTGGGACTTTAGCCTAAGGTGAATAGGAGCCACTGAAGGACTGTGAGAGTGCAATGAACTGTCAAATTTATTTTAGGAAGTCACATCAGCTGGAGAACAGACTGGAAGGATGAGAGGATAACAAATGAATTGAGGTGATGATGGCTTAGTCTAGGGTGGTGATGTGGGGGATGGAACTGTCATCAGAGCTTGGAGGTGAAGTGTCTAGTTTGGCTCACATTTTCAAACAACTTGGGTCGGAGCCAATCAAGTCACAGAAATGCAACAAGTCAAATACCCTTTTATTCTACATCAGCCACTACTTTTTCTCTTTAAGCCATTGCTGGAGTTTTTTTTTTTTTTAACAGATTTACAATTGGCATGAATGTGAGTACAGAGGACTCAGAGGGTCTCATTTGAAAACCTCCTTCCTGTGAGATGAGAGTCAGTGGAAAAGAAAAGGAACTAGAGGTAATCAAATGGGGGAGATAGTGGTGACTTATTGATGGACTGTGTATCTCACATAGAGATACTGCTAACGACCATCTTCCCGTGTAATTACCAGTTAAAAATACTTAGATTAAGGCATTCTTACCCTGTCATGTGACCCAGAATCTTGGGGTGAGATATCTGTAACATGCAAAAGCATGTTCAGTATTGTAACTTTATCTTTAGAAGGTAAACCCACAGAAAGAACTGCTATTGTTTTGTATGATAAACTAAAGAGCATAAAATAGAGAAAATTATTCTGTCTGTGGATGTGCAAATGTTCTGTGTCTATGCATGCCATTGAACGATAGAAGGATGGGGAAGAATTAGAATTTGCCACCAGAGATTATCAAAGGGACAAGATTCAAAGAAGTCTGAGAAGCAGTGAAGTAAAGTCTTATAAATGCTTTAGTCATTAAGGCCAAGAATTTATTTTGCTATACTTTTGGCATTTGTTAAGACATAACACAATCATCATAATTCACATCCATTATCCACCGTGCTGCAGACGCAGTGGCAGCTACTAGACACTCATAAATAAAGAGACACCACCCCTGCCCCCAGGGACTTCATGATCTACTAGAGAAGACAGACACAGGATTATTAATACCCTAACATTGTATGTACCATAATAGATGTGTGTACAAAGAACGCAGGGAAGGGAGGGATTAATTCCTAGTTATTTAATTTTCTTTGTATAATACTTTATAATTGACATATGAATTGATGTCAAGGAACACCTACTCCTCAGAGCATCCCAGAGGAGGCCTCAAGGCCTACCATGATCAAGGCCTACAAGGGTGATATGACTTGGTTAAGATAGTACCAGATGACCAGGGTCATCAACCTCAGGTCAAAGGGGGCTTCAAGCCTATCCCCTTTTGTGACATCACACAAAATGTACCTTTTTATAATTATTTATTTTTAAGGTACACATAAAGATTTCATTTCAGGAACCAAACCTAGTCAACATTTTCAGGCATTGGTATGTGTGAGAAATTTAATCTCGAGCTTCCGAGTTTGTTCTTATGAAAATTAGTGGCCTACTTTATAGTCTCTGATGTGCTATGACTAAGAGGAAAGACTAGGCTTGAGATGCAGACATACCTGGTTCAAATCTGGCTCAGGACTCAATAGCAATGCCATCCTGGGTAGTCATTCAAGTGCTCTGATCCTTAATACTCAACATGGCACACCACTAGGGAAATGAGATTAAATAATAAGATGTTAAGTAAAGGCACCTGGCCGAGAGTAGATGTTCTGGCTCTCCCTCTATAATTATTACCTAGTCCCAGCTAGAATATCTCTTACCTGCATTGCTGCAAAAGTTTTTCTTCACTCATTTTGGACCCCTCCAATCTATCCCTGTTACCATCATTGAAAGATTAAAAATCCTCAACATGAGCTATAATATTGCTCTCCAAAGTGCAGGTTATTAGCCATTAGTGCACAGAAACAATTTTTTTTGAGTGACCACCAGTACTTTTGTGTGTGTGTATGTGTGCTTTGGGTGCAAATTTACAAAGTGAACTTGTTTTACATTCAACAGTTCATGCACATTTGATTTCACACCTCAATTACTATCCCCAATTGTAAAAATTCTCCTCCCCTCTCCTTCCTGTGACTAACCCCTTCCTGTGCCCGCCCCCCATGCCCTTCTTAGCTATGCACTGCTGTCTGTCCAGTTTTCCCTCTATGTGAATGCTGCCCCTTTGGTGTCTCATGGCTGATTGCTCTAAGAATATGTGAGTGCATCATCCTGGGGTAGGTGTTCTTCATGTAGGTCTTTCTACTGTTGGGCTGAGAGCCAATGCATGGAAGTGAGTCTATCTCTAGGCCCGAAGGGTAACCCAGGGCCATAGTCTTGGGGCTTCCACCAGTCTCTATCTGACCAGTAATTCTGGTCTTTTTTGTGTTTTTGAATTTTGTTCCACATTTTTCCTCCCACTCTTTCCAGGATCTCCAGTTTTGATCCCTTCCTGAGTGGTTGGCATTGGTAGCTGGGCACCATCTAGTTCTTCTGGTCTCTGGTAGGAAAGGCTGAGGTCCTGGTGGTCCATCTTATGTTTGGACTGATTATTTCCAGATGACTGATTTTCTTCACTCTTTGCTGCACATGAGAAGAGACCAATAATTGCACCCTAGATGGCCACTCAAAAGCTTTTAAGACCCCAGTCACTACTCTCCAAAGTAGGCTGTAGAACAAGATTTTTATGTTCTATGTTGTGCCAATTGAGCATAATGTCCATTGAGCACAATGAGACTATGGTCCTGAGTCGGCAGGCCCTGTGATTCTCTCTTACAAGGTGTTTGATTGTCTCTGAGAACTTACTCCAGCCCTGTCTTCTGTTGCTTCACCACCAGTACTTTTTTTTTTTTTAAAGTGGAATAAAATAGAAAAAGAAAAATAAAGAAAATGAAAGATAATTGGAAACAAAACAGTGAAACAAAATAGAAATACTATATTGCAATGGGAGTTGTACTCATACGTATTATTTCATGAAACTTGTCAAGTAGTTTAAGGCTTTGGTCCATTATACCCTGAATGATAGGACCCCTGCCTTCTCTTTTTGCCCCATTTCTCATACTCTTCCCCCAATTCTCTACTCTCTAATGACTCCAAACTTTCCTTAATTTCCTCCAACATACCATGTTCCCTTCTGCTAAAACATGCTGTTTTACTCTTTGCCCAGTTACTGTCTACTTATCCTCCAGGTCTCAACTCAGGTGCCACTTTTTCAGGCACGCTTTCCAGGACTATACTTTGCACTCCTTTACTGGTCAGAGTCACGTTTGCTTTTAATAAGTCCTTTAAGTAGATACTTATCTGGTTCATGAGAAACTTTAGGCTATAGGATGCACGAAGGCATCTACTTCTGACTACCTCTGTAACCCAGGTGCCAAACGCAGGCCGACACGGGTGATTGATTGACAGGTGAATGAATGAATGAATCTACTTGGTACTGGTTTTGTTTCTAACCCCTGTACCAGGTAAACTACTGCAGAGCTGTATTGTCTGCCTAGGTTGTTGTTGTTGTTGTTATTTGCCGTCGAGTCGGCCCCGACTCATAGCGACCAAGGAGGGGTTTCCGAGGCAGTATCACTACGGAAGTAGGATTGCCCAACCTTCCTTCCGAGGAGTGGCTGGTGGATTTGAACCGTCTGCCTAGGTTAGGAACTTCCTATTATTGGATTTCTTTACTTGGGCCGCGGGGCTTCTGACTCAACAAAAAGGCACCAAAGTCTTGTAAATGTGTGGGCAGTTGTGTGTTGAAGCTGGGAGATGAAGAATAATTTTCATCGGGTTTCAGAGAGCGTCTTGGCGCATCGGCTCTAGAGAGCTACAGCACCGTGATCATCTCACGTCCTCCCATTACACCCTTGAAGGCTCTTGGTGAGCACAAGCCCGGGAGGCTTCTGGGCCTCCATCCCTTCCCAGCTACTCGCACTCGGCCGACCGCGCCCTGAACTTCTAGTGGAAGCGCGCGTCCCTGTGAAGTTAAGAGGCACCGCATCAGCCGGTGACCTGCATCACCAGGGCCGAATGCAGTCCGAGGGACGTTGCCCGGATCCTCAAGCCCTGGCCCTAGCGCTCTGCAGCCATCTCCACGGAGGGAGGGAAGGAGGCGCGGCCTCCGGACTCCGACCCGCCCCTGCCGCCGGGGCCGCCCCGCCGAGCGCTCGACCGGCCGCGCGGCGCCTGGGCTTCCACTTCCCCTCCCAGCCTAGCTCTGCAGACTCGCGCGCTCCCCGCCTAGCCCGCAGAGCCCGCGCCGCGGCCGCCCGCCGCTCCGCTCCGCGGCGCTCCGAGAGGCCGCCATGGGCACCGCGCGCTGGTTCGCGCTGGGCAGCCTGGTCGCCTTGGCCGGGCTGCTGGAAGGCCGGATTGTGGGCGAGGAAGAGGCCGGCTTTGGCGAATGTAACAAGTTCTTCTACGCCGAGACCCCTCCCTTGGGCCTGGCGGCGGATTCCCACGTGAAGATCTGTCAGCGTTCCGAGGGCGTCGAGCGCTTCGCCACGCTCTACAGCACCCAGGACCGCATCCCGGTGTACTCGGCGTTCCGCGCCTTGGGCCCGGGGGCCAGCGGCGCCGAGCAAGGCTGGCTAGTGGAGCCGCAGGTAAGCGAACTGGCCAGTGACGGAGGCCGGGCCGCTGGGCTTTCCTTCCAGGAACGTGCTGCCTTCATCTCGAGGGCAGGACCGGGAAAGGCAGCCCCCATGCCTTAGGTGCCTGCGGTTTCAGATCCACCCCACCGCGCCCTGGGAGATAGCGCCTTCCACACCCCGTGTCAACGCCACTACTTGGCTCTCTGCGAGCTTTCACTTAAGCCGCGGGGCGGGAGGTCCCCTGTAGGGGAGGTTCTCCCTACGTTTCAGCGAAGTCATTTGCAATGACTGGTTCGCTTCCTGGGTAGTGAGGAGCGTGAGACAGAAACCGAGGAGACAGTACTGATCCCCAGAAAGCGGAGGCTGGGTGCTCACAGACGTGGCGCAGGGTGGGCATTTTCATCCCCATTTCATGGAGGAGATCGAAGCTGGGGTGGGGTGGGGGGTGTGAAGAAGAGACTGACAGCTGTAAGATGTGGCGGATCTTTTGGCTGTACGTTCACTGCCCTTCTGCAGAGTCCATCCTAGCGTGAAAATTCTTCCCTTCTACACATGACACCTGGTAAATTTGAGTTAGGACATACTAAGGGCAATAAAGGGATCGATTTTTTTTAAAAAAAATGCAGTGGCATAGTTACAAATAGTAAGGAAACATTGATGACCTCCCTCTGATGGGAAAGATAAACCAGTTTTTCCCGATTCTTCATGTCTATATTATCAGACCATTTGGAAACTATGTCCCCTCCCTGGTATTCTGCTCTGTCTGGTGACAGTGACCGAACACTCGAGAAGCCCCTAGAGGCCCTTGCTGAACCTGGCAGCATCTCTTTCCACCTCTGCTTGGCTGGCCTCTCTAGAAAACCCAGCCAAACAAGCTCCCTTTTAGCCGGTTCTCCGCCTCTCACCACCAAGGGACCCCAGCCCTACAGCCGAGCAGCTACTCTAGCTGGAGGAGGAGGCATTGCGCCTAGCACCGCCCACGCCTGATGGGCACTGTCTGCCTGGAGCGCTTGGGTAAACTGGAGACCAAGGGGTTCTGATCTTCAGCTATTTCTAGCTCTGAGATCTTGGCTAGATCCCAAGCAGTCTGCCCTTCAGTTTCCTCACCTCCACATCATTTTCCCTACCTCACTTGTTGATGTTAGGATGGATGAGATCAGGTTATGAGATCATACCTTTGTAAATGATAGAAATTTTAAGACATATTTTAATCTAAAATTAGTTTGTCCCTAACTGCACCCCTAGGACTCTCAGTGTATTCCCTCACTCCTTATTCACTGTGATGATGAGGCTGTGAAGAAAAGAGATGACCTGCTCCCTTTTCCTTGAGGACTTTATGGACTCCTTAGGGAGAACATACACATGAGAAAGACATGGGAATACAGGCTAAACAACTTTTGAGTAAATTGGGAACGTAATTAGTTATCACCTGCTGTGTGCCAGGCACTGTGATACCCAAAGAAGTGAGTGTAGCTTCTGAACTCAGGGGTCTGCAGGTAGAGCTTACTGTACAGAGCGGTGACAGTGTCTGATTAGAGTCAGGCTAAAACCAAAACTAAACTCACTGCCATCGAGTCAATTCTGATTCATAGTGACCCCTCCTTGGGTTTCCGAGGCAATATCTCAATGGAAATAGATTGCCCATTCTGTCTTCCAAGGAGTGGTTGGTGGGTTTGAACCACCAGCCTTCTGGTTAGCCGTCAAATGCCTTGGGCACTACACCACCAGAGTTCCCAAGAGTCAGGCTGCCTGGGTTCAAATCCCAGTGGATTTAAATCCCAGAAGGTTCAAATCCCAGTTCCTCTGTGGACTAGCTATAAATTTGGACAGGTTACCTTGGAGATACATCATAGGGAAGTTATGAGGATTAAATGAGTTATTAAATGTAAAGTTGTCAGAGAGGTGTCTGGCACCTAAGTACCAGCTCTTAGGACATAAGCAAAAAAAAAAAAAAAAAAAACATAATGAAGGTAAACAAAGTCTTATTAAAGTTAATCAGTCTTTTTGGTGATAGAGGAAAGCCTTAAAAAACAAAACAAAACAAAACAAAACTCACTGCCATCGAGTCTATTCCAACTCATAGTGACCCCCTCTGGGTTTCTGAGGCAGTAAATCTTTATGGAAGTAGATTGCCTAGTCTTCCTTCTGCAGAGTGGCTGGTGGGTCTGAACCACCAACCTTCTGGTTAGTGGTCAAATGCCTTAGGCACTACGCCACCAGAGCTGCTTAGAGGAAAGCCTTAGGGCTAGGGTATTTGTGCTGTGCTTGGAAGGATAGGCCAAGTCCAGCAGGAAGACAAGCAGGAGGAGGGCATTTAAAGCAGGGGAGACATTGTAAGTGAGAAATTACATGGCAGATTTAGGGATTAGTGAATGGGGTGTCATTGGAACAGCTAAACTAATATAAGTGACTAGATTACAGTCTACTCAAGTGTTCAAAATGTAGAGGAATAATGGAAGGGAGGGTTCAAGTATGAAAGGGTAATCAAGGAAGGCTTAAGGAAGCAGAGCCATTTGTGCAACTATTATTGAAGGAGTCGTAAGGGGCATGATTTGTCAGAGAGGAAGTAGACCTGGGCATATAGGTACTGGAGATGCTGTGCCTTGGTGGAGTAATGAGAATGAGCTGGGGACATAAGAGAGGATGGAGAGGGAGGGTGGAGAGTTTCAAATGGTAGCTTGTTGATGTTAGGACCGATGAGATCAAGTATGAAAATGACAGAAATTTAAGACATATTTTAATCTAAAATTAGTTTATCCCTAACTGCACCCCTAGGACTCTAGAGAGTTGAGCCCTACAGCAGTTCTGAACAGTACAGGAGGCCTAAAGTGCCAGCCAGATGATCGCAGTGGCTAAGCACAGCAGAGTGCTTCTGCCTGCAAGGTGGGGGTCGCTCTTAACCTCAGGCCAAGCTAACCAGAAACCAGAGGGTATTAGAAGGGAGAGAAGGAAGCAGTAGGTGGAGCTACCAGATGTGGGTGGGTTCCAAGCACACTGCAGCAAACCTGACTCCCCTGCAGCCTGCTCCCAGAGGGCTGCCTCAGAGCCAAGGTCCCCACTGCAGAAAGATGCTCAGGGCTCAGTGTGTACTTTCGGTTGCTTCAGAGCAGTTGGTGATGCTGAGTCACTTTGTGCCCACATCACCTTTTTATGAGGTCAGCATCACCTAGAGTCCCAGCAGATGGGGAGGGCAGAGGAAACTAAACAAGCCTTCGTTGTTACCTTCAGGAATGAGTCAGCCAGGGCTAGACTGACATTGGGACTCCCGAGGCCCAATTTGCAGCTTTGTGACTGTCCTGAAGTTTCTCTTTGAAAAAAGCCTGTAAATCAAGGACTATAGAAACTTAGTCACTCTTGGTGCTTTAAAGCCTTTGAGGTGTTGGCTGCCAAACATCAACAGGCCAAAGTTCAAACCGCAGCATGCCATTTATAAGGCCCTCCATAATACAGCTCCTGTTTCCACCTCTAGCCCTGTTTCTCACCTCTCCCCACCCTCACATTTTATGTTCTAGTATTATCCAACTGCCTGGGCTTCCTCTCATAAACCACTCTGGTTGTCACATCTGTTTCTTTATTCAGTCCGTTTTGCTTTTGCCCCAAATGCCCCACCTTGCCCTTCACTTTCTTTCCTCCATTCCATTCTTTAAGATTGCTGAGGTGTTACCTCCTCAAGAAAGGATTCCCCACCTGAATTAGGCCCACCTCTTGTGCTAGGTTCATCTCTCTCTATTTTTGTACTTACTATATTGTTTTGCATTTACCCTTTTATGTATCTTTTTCCCCAACTCTTGAGGGCTGAGGAGTGTGTCTTACTCAGTCTTGTATTCCTAGTGTGCAGCACATAGAAAGCACTCAGTAAGTGGTGAATAACATATTAGGATCAGCTGGTCAGCAGTGGGTGAGATTGTCCTGATTGAACTGTCTTGGTAAGGGAGCTTCCTGTTTAGAAGCTTGCCTGTAGCTGGCCAGCAGCCCCTGTTACATACATATTCCATATACAGAACTGGAACCGTTCTGTAAGTCCACCCCATCAGTCCTAGCTCTGGCCTTTGGAACTATCCTAAATGATTTGGGTCCCTTCTGTACATAACAGCCCTTCAGTGTTGGATACAGGATTTCATGTCATGTCAGTCTATGCTGAAACAGTTTAGATGGACCTTCTGAGAGACAGAATTGGAAATTTAAAAGGAGGTAGAGAAAACATATGGCCAGTGGGTTTATGTGGAATATGGTCATTTCATCAAAGTGAGAATAGGGTGAAGGCAAGAAAGAGATGAGAAACTATGTCCCTAGCTAGCATGATGGAAGAAGTTTGGAGGATTTTCAGTCAAGACTTTGGGATCCTGAGAATTGGGTTCTGGTTTAGTACAGGGAGCCTCAAACCTTTTAGTCCCTCAACTCTTTTCCATTTAGTGGAAGAATATTTGGAGGAGGTACCGGTGATGCCCTTCCAAAGTAAATTGCCAATTCATGTCAGAAGCCAACATATGAGACCCTTTCATTTTATGAACATAAACATTGGAAGGAATTGGCCTCATAGATTAACTCACTGCTGTAGAGTCAGATCCAACTCATAGCGACCCCTCCTTGGCTTTCCGCAAAACAAAAAACAAACCCACTGCCATTGAGTCAAAAATCCAACTCATAGCAACCCCCGCTGGGTTTCCAGAGTGGTAAGTCTTTATGGAAGTAAATTGCCCCATTTGCCTTCCATGGAGTATCTGGTGGGTTTAAACTGCTAACCTTCTGCTTAGCAGTCAAATGCCTTAGGCACTGTGCCACCAGAGTTCCTTATAGATGGTAATAACAACTCACAATTATTTAATCTCATAAAAATACTGTGAAGTAGATATCATTCTCTTCATTGAGAGATGTAGCTTAGATATGTTAATTGATGTGCCCACTCTCACACAACAAGCTGGGACTTGAACTCATGACTGTCTTTTCCTAGTCCAGTACTCTTTCAGTACACCATGGAGATTCTTTGACCTCACTGTATGATCCACTGTATT